CAGCGGAGGGCCTGGCGGACTACTGGGCCGCACGCGAAGATCCAGCCCACACAGCTCCAGTACTCATGGGGAGCGTCCTGCAGACTTGAAGTAAGCCACAGCTCCAGACACTTACCTCAGTGGGAGAGCCGCCGGTCCTTTTGAGTAACAGCAGAATGCACTCTACGAAGAAGGCCACCAGGGGCCAAGATACCAGCAGCTCCCAGGAATACCCACAGCTCCCAGAAGAAACCGAACCACGGCCCAGAAGGCAAAAACCACAGAACACGAAGATATGAACCTGATCCAGTTGGAATCGAGCTTGGACATCTCCATCGAGAACCACCAGAAGTCCCCGATGAAACAGTGGTGGAAAACATCAGCACCCTGAACATCCTTACATGGAATGCTCAGGGCATCAAAAACAAGAAACACCTCCTACAAGAAGCAGCAGCCAAGGACAAGCTTGACATCATACTCCTACAAGAAACACTTCTACAAGAACACCACTGTTTCAAATTCAGCGGTTACAAGACATACAGGAGGCATTTCACGCGGGCGTCAACAAGAGGATGTATGATCTTGGTCAAGTCAAGCATACCCTCCGCCGATGTCACGCAACAATTTCCATGTGGGGAAAACATCGAGACACAGGCCGTCAAAGTAACCCTCCAAGAACGGGAATTAACTGTTCACAACATCTACAAGAACCCAAGGGGCTCACTGGAGATTACTCAATTATTTGCTTCGGCCGCTGACCACGCCACACTCATAGGAGGGGATTTCAACGCACATCATCCCTTCCTAAGCTCGGCAAGCCCCACAAATGAAGACGGCCTTCACCTATACACCACCTTTCAAGATACACCCGAGATCTGCCTCCTGAACACCGGAGAGCCCACCCACATTAGGGGAGGAAGACTAGATCTAACCTTCGTCTCCAGTGCACTACAGCCTTCGGCCTCCTGGCAGATACACCCCACGCTGACCAGCGACCACTTCGCAACCCTAACAACGCTGAAGGTGAACAAACTCCCCACTCCACCCCCCCCGAGATGGAGATACAATACCCAAAAGGCAGACTGGGGACTCTTCAAGAAACACCTGGCTAAGTGGCGCGAAAAATCACAGCCGGCCGGCGCAGCACCCGCGGATGAGACAACCCTCCACCACCAATTGGTCGAGGCGTTTCACCAAGCGGCAGAAGAGGCTATCCCAAAAACAAAACCCACATCAAGACAGTACAATGATTACTGGTACTACTGTCCCAGGGTGAAAGAACTCAACCACAGAGTGAACATGGCCCGAAGAAACTACAGGAGACATCCCACGGCAACAAACAGACATCTCCTACAAGTCATAGTTAAGGATACCAGGGAAGAGAAGGAAGAAATTAAAAACGTAAGCTGGCTCAAGTGGTGCTCCGAACTGAACGAGCACACCTCCCTTGGCAAGATGTGGGCCCAGATCCGAAGGGCATCTGGGAAGGCAACACCACCACCACTAACTCATCCCAACCCAGAAGAGGAAGCCGAGAGACTTGCAAAACTGTTCTCTGACCGAGCAGCAACGAAAAACCTCCCGAGACAGGCGGAGGAGACACAACGGCGTCTGCGACAGGTCAGACTCCAGATGATCGAAGAGGCCTGCAACAGTGAAGATGACACTGACAGACCATTCAACCAGCAAGAACTCCAGAAGTCGCTAAAACGAAGCAAGGACACAGCTCCAGGGGCCGACAGGATAACCTACTCCATGCTTTCTCATGCCGGTACAGCCGGACACGAGGCTCTGCTGCAAGCCATCAATGCTTCGTGGACAGCACAAAGACTCCCACCGGAATGGAAGAAGGCAGATATACAGCCCATTCCGAAGCCCAGAGAACCAGACAAACCGAGGCCCATCTCCCTTCTCAGCTGCATAGCGAAGACGGGAGAAAGAATGGCTCTCAACCGACTCAAGTGGAAAGTAGGCAGCCCACACCCTCACATCTTTGCTTACACCGAGAACACCGGCACAGGCAACAACATCGCCGAGATACTCAGCACAGTGGACAACAAACCAGCTCTGGTGGTCTTCCTCGACCTGGAGAAAGCCTTCGAACTAGCAAATCCATTGGCCATTACAACTACGCTCGCTCAAAAAGGCGTCAAGGGAAGGTTGCTGGGGTGGATCCAGAACTACCTCACACAGAGAGAAGCACGAGTACGCTTTCAGGGAGCAACCTCAAGCTACAGGGTCCACGAAAACGGAACCCCACAAGGAGGCATCCTCAGTCCAATGCTGTTCAATGTCCTGATGGAAAATCTAGTCAAACTTCCCTTCAGACAAACAGCCAAGCTCCTATGCTATGCAGACGACTTACAGCTTATAGTAAGAGGATCGAACAGACTTGCCAACACGCAACACGCACTCCAACTCATAGAAGAGGAGTGCAACAGACTTGGACTCAAGATAAATCCAGCCAAGTCGAAAGCGATGGCCATCTGCACAGACACACCAGACAAGATGCTCTCCATACAAAACACGCCGGTAGTCTGGACCAACGCCCACCAGTGTCTTGGAATCTGGTTTGACCAGAAACTCACCTTCAAGCCGCAACTCGAGTATCTCAGGCACAGGACGAAGAGCAGACACAATATAATGAGGTCGCTCACCAGCAAATCCGCAGGAGCAAACCTTCATGTGCTCAAAGCCTACTACACAGCCGCCATCAGATCGCTGGTAGATTACAGTGCTCCAGCACTCATTGGACTGAGAGAAGACCAAATAGCTAAGCTAGAAGTCATCCAAAACAATGCTCTCAGGACCATGCTCGGAGCACCCATGTGGACCAGAATTTGCAATCTGCAATTGGAAACCGAGCTACCACCCCTGGCAGTACGAGTCAAGCAGGTGACAGCCGGTCTCCTCGCCAAAATCTGTAGAGCAGACAAGCCCACAGTTGCCAAGATTCGAATCAGTGCCTCCCTCCACCTCGACCACAGAGTGCGAGGGGCCACCTGGTCGCACGAGGCAAGCGAGGTCATCCGACACCTGCAAGCAGAAACACTCGTCAAGAACAACCAAGACACACGAGACAATGGTTACGCTGTTCCTCCACCATGGAGCCCTCCACCAGCCACACTCAAATTTACCGACCTAGGCGATAGTAAAGCCAACCTCCAGAAGGAGGACCTCAAAAAAATAACTCTCGAAGCCATAGCCACCGAGACACCGGCTGATGCAGCATCATACTTCACAGACGGCTCGGTGGACCCAAAACATCATAGATCCGGAGCGGCCTTCTACACCCAAGGTCAGACCCTCCAATGGAGACTTTCCAATGACTGCTCCACCCAACAAACAGAACTGGTAGCAATCTCAAAGGCCCTACAACACGCTGCAACACAACACAACAAGTCCGTCATAGTTCACACGGACTCGAATCGGCCATGCAGGCGCTGCAACACAGTCAACCAAGAGACAACGTCCACATCATCACCTCGATCCTCGCACAGCTACAGGAATTCCAAAGCCAAAACCGACCAGTCGTCTTACACTGGATTCCCAGTCATGTAGGGATCGGAGGAAACGACGTGGCAGACGAAGCAGCCAAGGCAGCTACACGTTCTAGTAGCGTACACATCCAAGTTCCAGCAAGTGTGCAACAGATTAAGAATCACCTCAGAAAGACTAGCAAGCTCCACATCAAAAAGAACTTCCTTCATGCACTCAACGCTGGTTCCCAATCAGCCAAATGGTACCTGGCGGCCACAAAAGGGGAACCACCTTTCGCTGACAAGAAAACTCCAAGACAAACCCAAGTCAGCCTTCATCGACTACGACTAGGGTACAAGTGCTCCTGGCAGATGATCGGAAATGACGTCATGGATTGCACCTACTGTCAGGAGCCAGCAGCCAACCCACTTGAACACTATCTCCTCGATTGCGAGGTCACACAAAGCCTCCGAAACAGAACTCAAATCTCCCAAGAAACACACACAACACCAGCGGCCACTCTAACCCGAAAGGCCCATACAGACCACATTCACCACCTACTCCGGGTCATCACACGATACCCACCACCCAGATAGCTTAGAAAGCATCCTCTCCCAGCAAGTGCGGACCCCAGTTCGGGGGGCGCGCCACTCCGAAGCTGACCACGTCCAAGAGTGGGGGCTGGTGGTAAGCGTCCACTGATCGGGGGTCCGCTCACACTTGCAACCTGCAGTATCCCTCCAATCTGCAGGTGGGACCACCTCCAATCCCAATCCGGTCTGGCTGCTCCTGGAGCTCCAGCCAGAACCACCAAACGGGCCGCCTATAGGCAAAGGCCCGTGTCGGACTACGGTCCGACAATCTCTACAACAACAACAAAACCCAGGGAGGACATCCTACACTCAACTACTGGACCAGCAACATCTCTCTCAGCTCCTCACCTAGTCACTCCTAAGCACTGCGCTGTACAACAATATATATACAGGAAGCGCATCGTGAGTTTCTATCCAACCTCATTCCTGAGTGAAGGTATCTACATGTACGTACGTTTGTGTGCCCATACAAAGAGAATTGACAACTAAAGAGAATTGACAACTGGCCACATACAGTACGCTACAAACGTTTCACCAGGTGGACAGAAGCCATTCCCATGCCTAATGCTACAGCAGAGTCAGCCGTCCGCGCCTTCCTGTCTCGTTGGGTCTCCCGTATCGGTCCTCCCACTGACCGAGGAGCCCAGTTTGTCACAACTCTGGCGTAGTCTCCTACAGTTCCTCAGCACTTCCAGGCACCACACTAATGCTTACCACACTCGATCCAACGGCATGGTAGAGCCATTTCCTTTAACTTTGTTATTGTCACACTGAACGAATCTTGACTATCCAGCCAGATCACGTCATATACCAAAACCAAAGACTATAATATTATAGTCTTTGCCAAAACACAGTCTATTACAGACGAGCGTCAGGCGACAGTTGCGCTATCTATCATTAACCGACCCAACTATTAGTGTCCAGTTAGTGATTTGTTGCTATTTTCTGGTGGCACTCAACTGATGAGGAGTCAAGCTTCCTTACTCTTCCTTCCTTGCACAGAAGGGTTTGGGCAAGAAGAGTGGGTTTAGTGTCTTTTTTGGTACCGAAATTGACGAATCCCTAATTGGCTTATTCCGTGAAGGCTTTGCAGTAGTTGACTAGTTGTTGATGTGGGCAGAGCTTGGACGTGAGACAAATCCAGACATAGTCGCCGTTTGAGACAACAGCGGCAAAAGGTAAGATCATTTGTTGTGCAAATGACTTTATTCCTGACTAATATAAACTCAGTAATCCAAATAGCCACGGTATAAGTTCAGAAAACTGCCTAGGCAAACTTTTTCGGAGTGAAATTAGTGAAATCTTGGCACAATCTGCCAGTGTTGTGACTGCACCGAGTGGGAGCTCATTTAAGACCAGACTTGATCAACTCTGGCTTAAGTGCAGATACATTCTGGAACCAATACATGGCAACAGTTAACAGTTCGTAATAGAGATATGCCCGATCGCCAAGTAGTTAACGAGCCGATCAGTGGCAAATAGGATTAAGTAAAGTAACATCGGTCAATTTATGATAGTGGCCAGAATTCGATTTTCCATAAAAACACTTTTCTTATGGTTCTTGTGATTCGAGCGAATCTGACCTAAGTTTCTGGTGCTAACCTAACCTAACTTAACTTGGTAATTATAAAGAACTAACCTGCTGCCAAAATTGATTGAAAACGATTAAAAAAACGCCGGATTTTCACTTATTTTACAGTGGACACAGTTTTAGTTTGTGCAAATATGTTAAAAAATTTATATTTTTAAAATAAACGTTACTAAAATTTGTGAGTATGAAGAAAGACCTAACCAAACAAACCTACCTAACCTTACCTAACATTCTCACTGCCCCCCGCACCCCCCTGGTATATAAACAGAAAGAACTTACAATATGATAATATTTGAGGTATTTTCTGGATGCGAGATGTATTGGTGCTTACTGAGCCTGGGCAGCACAGTGATTTATTGAGATAGCGGGAAACGCGAGCTACAGCGTCGATGAAGTGATGGATGACTGCTTCCCAACAACTAAATTAACACACAAACCCAGTTCCATTTCACATTATTGCTGTGAACAATACTTTCAGCTTAAAGGAACGATGCCGTGGTCTTTGAAAAACTTTAGGGTCTCATAGTCTTTATCCCTAAATTTGCAAGTTACATCCATATAAGACCGGCGACAACCTTCACACATCATGCTGAAAATGAAACTGCCGCAGGGAAGAGATGAGACTCCTCTCTTGAGCTCTGCCTTATTACTGCTGGTGAGAGACACAAGACAAAATAGTGCACGCCTAGGCACCTAATTATCCATGAAACGAACAATTTCCACAAGAAATGATTATCATATCACAATTCAGTGATGAAAATAATGTAAGAAAATAAACAATTATGAAAATAACTCGTCGGCAGGTTAGTCCTATATATTAACCCCAACTGCAACCTGGCTATCCTAAATTGGTAAATTTTTACAAGTGGACAACCATGGATTTTTTTGTTGAGTACTGTGTTTTTCCGATGGTTTAGACGATGTTAAAACACTTTTCTTCTCTGACGTTTCCCTCACAAATGACTTAAATATACCTGGGGATCCAGGAGGACAGAGCCCCCCCAGTTAGGAGGTAGGGTTAGGTAATTTTCAGTCATTTGCGATGAAAACGTCATAGAAGAAAATGGTTTAACATTGTCTAAAGTCTAAACCAGCGGAAAAATGCACTGCTCAACAAAAAATCCATGGTTGTCTACTTGTAAAAATTTACCCCTAAATTGACTGTAATATCTCTTCAGGCAAGATTTAGTCTTTTAAAGGTAATTATTCGTTTTAGCACACCCTCAAATTTTTTCACAAGATGTTTGATTTCTGATGTATTTTGATGTTTTGCTCAGAATTGACCTTCGTTTCCATGGGAAATGCGTCTTTTTTTTTTTTTTTAAATGGAAGTCATTCTTGATCAAAAACGGCTATTTTCCATCAAAAACAAAGGTGAGATCTGAACAAAATACATCCAAATGCAGCATAATCCAAACATCTAGACCCATAACTTTCACTAAATTAACCTATCTTAACCCGGTCCGATTAATTACCCAAATGTACCCAAATGTAGCTGCAATGAAGTCAAATAATGGTCCTACATGAATAAATCGGACTGCTAATCACTTCTCGACTAGTATTTGGTGTTACAAAGTCACAAAAAATTGGAAAACTTATTTTAATCTGAGTTAATAGATCACGTGCATGTACCGAGGGAGCGAGTAATTACCCCAATGTACCCAAATGTAGCCGCAATGAAGTCAAATGATGGTCCTACAAGCGTAAATCGGGCTGTGAATCACTTCACGAATATTATTTGGTGTCATAAAGTCAAAAAAATTGGTAAACTTAATTTAATCCAAGTTGTGTTAGGTTAGGTTAGGTACATGCACTCGATCTATTAACTCAGATTAAATTAAGTTTACCAATTTTTTGTGACTTCGTGACACCAAATACTAGTCGAGGTTAGGTTAGGTACATGCACTCGATCTATTAACTCAGATTAAATTAAGTTTACCAATTTTTTGTGACTTCGTGACACCAAATACCAGTCGAGAAGTGATTGGCAGTCCGATTTATTCATGTAGGACCATTATTTGACTTCATTGCGGCTACATTTGGGTAATTAGTCGGACCCATCTTAACCTAATCTAACCTCACCTAACCTCTGCGGGGGGCCCTAACCACTGCGGAGGCAGGCAGTGTGACACTCCTCACGGTTCCAAATAGCTTGTGGTGGGACAAGAAATGGCGGGTGGAGAATTATTTATCTATTTTCTTTGGCGTTTCTCACTTGTGCGATTTTTCTGTAAGAAACGCATTTCCAAAAGGCCTCAAGGGTTGAGGATTGTATGTACGGTATGAGGTAGAAATTGCCTAAAAGCAGGCGCTTCTATGTGATTTGAAGATGTGTTAAACCGAATAATAAATCTTTTCAAATTTGGGTAATTACTGACGAATGACCCGCCGGCAATTTAGCATAGTAAACAATTATAAAAAAAAATTGCAATTTCACTCGGCCATTTTTTTAAACATTCGGGTTACTTAGTAGTAACCCGAAAGCGCCCTCTGAGCCGTAATCCATTTTTTTAAACCAAATTTTGTCGGGTTACCATTTGGTAGTCCGACAATATTATTGGAAAGTTCAGGATAAGTCCTCGGGTGTGGGTAGGCATCCGAAAGACTTATCCCGAATGTTCAAACGAGTTATATATGAATAGAAAACGTCTCTAAAATACAATGCAGTAGTATATGTAAATTAAGATGAGATAATAAAGAAAAAAATGTTTAAGTGTCCTAATAACCGGTTCCAGTAGAAATGTATATATTTTTAAGAGACCGCCGTGTAACCCCGTGATGTTTTACCTTCAACTCCGAAGATTTTTCATCTCCCCATCGCCCTTCTCCAATTTTATGAAGCATTGCATTCCTACAATCTTCCTCTTATAGCTTCAAGTATGGTAACTAACACACTTTTGTTTGTGATAGATAGATGTAAATGTAATTTCCATTTCACCAATATATTATATAGGGAAGATATAAGATGAGCCAAATGTACTAGGTAGATGCTGAGGTAATAGCTTACAACAAGTGTCATCTGTGACCCACGCTGATAATTAACCTGGAAAAAAATTTCTCCTGCTATATTTCACTGTTTGGGTTGTTGTTATTTCGGTTGTGTTTAGGTGCTACCAATATTTGCAAGTTTAGATTAGGTTACGCAAAAAAAAATCTTTTTTTTTTTAAGAAATGTTCGAACTCGAGGTTAGAATAAAGCAGGGCTGTGGAGTCGGAGTCGAGGAGTCGGAGGAAATTTCGGCTTGTGGAGTCGGAGTCGGTAAAATTGTCCAGACTCCGACTCCGACTGAAGCTATTCTGTTCCTAAGAACAAATATATGAACTCAGGCATATTCATTGCAGTGATTCCACTGATCCCACTAATTTTCTTAAATTATTAAAAGAATTTATTTCCATTTTATAAGCATTATTATGAATTTATTGTAGCAGGCACAGTATAGCACTATAATTTTGGACGATAGTCTCTTCTTTACAATTTCAAATTTTGAATTATATCAAATTTTGTTTCGTTGAAAACTGCACAGAGGCTCTCAGCTACAAAACAATTAGCTACAACCTGTTTTTGGTGAGATTAAGGCAAATTTAATTTAATAACTTAATCGTGTAAGGTTTATCCATTTTCCTTAATAAGGTATTCATTTCTTTAATGTACATAAATATATAACTTTACTTTAAAAGGAATTGTAGGATCATCATTTAGATCCACACCAGATTATGAGCTTAAACAAAATTCATATGCTGAGATCGAACTTTTAGATATACATGCAAATGGTGTTTTCTAGTTAATATCTTGAATTCTTAATAAATTTATTTTTCTTTTGATTGAAACTTTGAAAGTCAAGCCTATCATCTTTTTGTAGTTCTTAAATATCGTCCAGATCATTAATAAAGCTGTAGCAGTATAGCCACGGTGTTTTACTTTTTACCTATGCAGGTTACAACATACAAATTACAATTAGGATGGTAGAAATAGTTGTTACAAATAGGCCAAGGAGTCGGAGTCGGAAGCATAAAAATTTGAGGAGTCGGAGTCGGAGTCGAAGGTTTTGTCTTCGACTCCACAGCCCTGGAATAAAGTGCCAAAATTGATTAATGAAGTTTACAATCACTCGATTTAAATCGTGTCAGTCCTATCTTACATCACTGGAACAAAATAAACAAAAGTTAAATATACTATGGACAAATTTCTTAAAGAAATTCTCTGTAATAGCTGTGCAACTAGCTTGTAAACTACAGTGGTCTCTCGGTTAACGAACACAATTCGTTCCAGAAGGTTGTTTGTTAACCGAAAATTTCGTTAACCGAAACCATTGTTTCAATGGAATTTTGGGTAATTGGTTCCAGCTCACCGAAAATTACATACAAAGTAAAAATAAATGCAGTAAAGTACACTTACTTTGAGGTGTGTATGTAGAAGGCTCCTGATTGATGATGATGGGAATTAGAAGTGGGGGTGGAAGAGAAATCACCCCATGCTTCATGCCATCATTTCACCCATAACATTTTAAGTTCACTAGGTGTAATTCAAGATTATTTTCTTTAAATCAACACTATACTTCACTATATATTGTCAATATGTAAAATAAA